TTTATATTGAGAGAGATGAGGAGATAGATGTGTCATACCTTAATAAGGACGCGAGATTTAGGGCTAATAAATCTCATAAAACGCTTATATAGGGGGTGTATTCCTTTAAGAGTTCTAATGATTTTTAAAGACAATGGGTCTCTTCAAGAAAATTCAAGTGCCATCTAGGAAATAGATGTATTCCAATGTAATAAAAAATAGATTTGGTCAAGTTTATGTAGCACTAGAGAAAAAAGAGACCAAATCTACTCTTAAGTCTATTTTGGTCTCAAGTACAAATTTACCTAATCATCAATTATTCATAATTTTCTTTTCTTTTTAATAGGCAAAATATATTCTTTTGCATGCATTTATTATTACTATATTTTTATTGGTTGTTGGGTATTCTAGACCTAGGGATGGCAGCGGTTCGGTTTCGGTTCGGATATCCGCGGTTTTTGGTTCTGCGGTTTTCGGTTTTGGTTCTCAAATTTCACCCACGGTTTTGCGGTTTCGGGTACCCGAAAGTCTTCGGTTTTGGTGCGGATTCCTATATTTCGCCCGTGGTGCTCCGTTGGGTGCCCAAAATAGACGGCCCATCAAAAAGCCCACCAAAAACCCTAGCTATATAAGTGGAAATTTCCTCTCCCTCTTATCCTCTCCCCGTCTCCCGTGATGGCTTGGCTTAGCTATGTACTCTACTACCTTTATGGCTTGTACTGTACGTTGGTACTTGCTAATTTGTGACTGGTTGCCTGGTACTCTCTAAGTTATCATGTTTTATGTTGTTGTCTTTGGTGTTTTATTATAATATTTTTGGTTTTTTGGGTATCCGTTTGGTTTTTGGGTATCCGCGTGTTTTGGTTTTGGTGAAGGATTTTCACCCGAAACAGTTTTGGTTTTGGTTTTGGATTTTAAGTTTGGGTTTTGGTTTTGGGTGCCCTGAGGTTCCATCCGATCCGAACCCGAACCGCTGCCATCCTTATCTAGACCTAGTACATTTTTGTTTTGCATTGGATAGATTTTGAATTTTTTAGCTAGGCAAATGGACTTAAGTCTATTTATTTGCCACACATATGCAAAAAAAGACACAAAGCATTGTAGGTGCTTTTAGGATTTGTAAAATTCAGGTGTATTTAAATGAGACTTTTTAAAACTTCAAAAAGCCTTGAGGTATTTAATTAAGATTTTCCATGATTTTTTAAGAGTCTCTGAAAATCAAGAGGTATTCAATTAGGACTTTTTAAAGTCCCATGAAATCACTAGATATTGAGTTCTTTTTAAATTCTTTGGGATTTGTCATTTATTTGGATTTGGAGGGATTTGAGTGAGAAAGTATATATACTAGTACAGCACTCGCGCGTTACGCGGCTTGATATTAAGAATGACGTAGATGTAAATATTATTTATTATATTGTGAATTATTTTCTTAAATATAATGTTAGTAGTGGATGCATTATATTTATTATCATTGTCATAAATAACAATTTTTATCATTTTTGAATAAATAAAGACATTGTTTCTATTCTATAGATAATCTTGTATAGAATAATTCAAATAAAAATTTACAAATATTAGTCATTTAAAATTATAAAAATGTACTTGAAGAAAAGAAAAATAACTCAATTTTGATTACTATATTTTTCAGATTTTTCTAATTGACAAAATAAATTCAGTTAATTCAAATAAAAATTTACAAATATTAGTCATTTATAATTATAAAAATGTACTTGAAGAAAAAAAAATAACTCAATTTTGATTACTATATTTTTCAGATTTTTCTAATCGACAAAATAAATTCAGTAATTCATTTGTTTGCAAAATAAGTCCGATAATGATTATAATAACGTGCAAGATAAATCACTATTTGTAAAGTTACAAACATGCCAACAATTATTTATGTTCATGTCACTAAGAAATTACTTATTTTTTACATGTAAATTATGCAAAATGAAATTTAATATAATTTTTAAGAATATACATTAATAAAAAAATACATTTAAATTGTATTATATAAATTATAAAAAGAGTAAAACTCATTTTGATAAAAAAAAAATATTTATTGTATAAAATAAGAAAAAAGTAGTTGATGCCAACAATTAGGACTTTTTAAAGTCCCATGAAATCACTAGATATTGAGTTCTTTTTAAATTATTTGGGATTTGTCATTTATTTGGATTTGGAGGAATTTGAGTGAGAAAGTATATATATACCAAATCTGGCAAAATTTTATTTTTGGTCCATTATATTGGCCATTTTCCAAAAATGGTTCACTAATTTGACGGACATCAAACTTGATACAATAAGTTGTAAAATTCTTCACTTTTGGTCCATTAATCACTCGGGAGCCTACGTGGCGGACATCAAACTTGTCCACGTATTCGCTCGATAAAACGCCACGTATGCTTATGGACCAAAAATGATAAATTTTACAACTTATTGTATCAGGTTTGATGTCTGCCAAATTAGTGGACCATTTTTAAAAAAATAGCCAATATACTGGACTAAAAATGAAATTTTGTCTACCAAATCTCATTACAAATCCTACCAATACATAAGAGATTTTAAAGGATTTACAAGGTGGCGATGATTTAATATTCTCCTACTTTGCCCTGTAAGCCATTTTTCTTCTTCTTCGAAGGTATCAACATTTGTTCTTAAAATATTAATATATCTATGTTCTCAAAAAATTGTTGTCAAATTGTTACGTTTTTTATCTTTATTTTATTTTTCTTTGCGATGCACGGGACAAAGATATTAAATGAGTTATTTTCACAAACTTGACCGTTTTAGTTTAAAAAATAATAATGTTATTATCTATTTTCTATATCTTTTAATCAACGTTAAATCTAAAAAATTATTAAGCCGCCCTCTGGCAAATATGTAAGAGTTATGTGTCCGTGTCTCATAAGTCACAAACATTATGAATAACATTACAAATTATTCATTCAAACTTTTATTTATTGCAAATATATTAAAATAGTTTATATAACAGACATTAAATACCACTTTCAATATATTTATAAATAAAAAGTACATAAAATTTCTGGTGTGTTCAAATTTAAATAATTTTTTATGGGCTCAATTTTAAATCATCCAAACATTTGGTCAAACGCATAGGTGTGTTCAAATTTAATTCAATGGCATTTTGGTCGGTTGAAATTTAAATCATCTACCATGGTACTGTGATGTGTATTATATATATAATTTTTTAACAAATTTTATGTGCTTTATAAAATAATAATATTTCACATGATTTTAAACGTAAAATTAGGTTTTTAAACAAAATAGAAAAATCATGGTAAGGTGTATCGAAAAGGTGTTATGAGATAAAACAATTAACTAAAATAATTAAATAAAATGATTGATGGAAATAGAATGCATTAATTACCTTTGACTTTTTTTACTACTAATTCTAGTAAATAGAATGTCTTTTTATATAAGTATAGATTAAATTTCTAGGTCTATATTTATTGTTTTGGGTAATTTTGACTTGGTATTTTATTTTTATGAATTTTATGTTGCTGGAGTACTATGAACTGTATAAATTTTTAGGATTATTTGATATTAGAATATTTTAACTTTAATTTGTTTATATTTGAATGTTATTAATTTATGTCATTTATATTAGAGTAGTTTTTAATATCACCAATGAATGTTGGTGAGTGAGCCATGTTGTATATATAACGAGTACAAGCCGACGTACATGGAAAGATTGTAACAAACAGATAAAAAAAGATATGCTAACATATATATGAAACTATCCTAATCTGGTACTCTAACATCCCCCCTCAAGCGCTGGGTGGGGGAAAGATCAACGCAAAGCTTGGAACGAAAGAAGGTGAACGTTGGACGAGGCAAACTCTTTGTGAAAATGTCCGCGAGCTGTAAAGACGACGGGACAAAACGAGTAGATAGGCGACCAGCCGCCACAAGCTCTCGAACGAAGTGGTAATCAAGATCGATATGTTTAGCTCGCTTGTGCGCCACCGGGTTTTGACTAAGGAAAATAGCACTCTTGTTGTCGCAAAGAAGAACTGGGCAAGAGGGAAAAGTAATACGAAGTTCGGACAGAAGGTTAGAAACCCAAACAAGCTCAGCGGCAGCATTGGCCATTGCTCTATATTCGGACTCGCAGCAGTATAGTTTCAGAAAGTAACAACCCTTAGAGTCAGTAAATCAGGTATCTCACCGGTTAGATACTCTAAATAGTAGTTGGAAAAGTTCAAAATCAGTTATTTTGTACAGTACTTGCGGGACCAATTGATGCTGGAATAGCCCTATAGTACCTAGTCAGAAGCCAACATTCATGAGTTTAAGGTCGACGTATAATAGTTACTAGCCGGATAAAATATGGAGATCTGATATACATGTCATTAGTTCAAATTTACCTGGAAACTTGAAGTCGAACCTTATAAGACAACAGTAAGATAGTAAGCATCACATTCCAGACACCGAGACGACCAGTTAAATGTCTCAAGCCAAGTAAGAGTCATCTGGACATGTGAAAGTTGAGTATGGTCTGTTTAATAAGACAAAAACTCATAAGTTTTCTCATGAGTATAACTAAGGCTGATTCTCGAGTTTAGAAATTCGAGAAGTCGTGAGAAAGATTATTTCGCAATAGACTTTCTTGAAGTTAGCTTAACCTCAGGGAAGATGGAAGGTGAGCACTACCGAATTCAGCGTGTTGACGTAATATTTAAAGTGTAATAATTAGAATTGATGTTGTATAAATGTAGGAGAGAAGTAATTGAAAATGATGTGTAGCTAAAAATATATAAGTAGATGGATAATAAATTACATATGATATTATATGTGAAGATGATTAATTGTTTTTTTATTATATTGATTGATAATATTGATAAGTATTAAACTTGAAAACTTCAAATTGAATTTAGTTAAACGGTGTAAATAAAAATTATTAGATCAGTCAAAACTGGATAATTTGTGCAGCCAATAGCCCCTAAAGAACACCTAAAAACATTGAACTTGCAAGACATGCTTGTGCTTTGGGCAATTCAGGCAACAGAGGTGTTATTATTTGATGACCCATAAATGACCACACTCCCAGCAGAGGCTTGGTTTGCTGCTCGATTACTTCCGAAATTCTTCTTGTTCGACTCCCTCGCGATTCTAGACCCGAACTGCAAAGGGTAAAAATGGAAATAGCAAACACAACAAATAGGATGAAGAACAAAGCAATTCTGTCTCAGAAACTCTGCAAAGAGCATTTGTAAATGGTAACACGAGCAACTTTCTTTAAAGCTCCGCTCATCTTAAAATAGGAGAATAAATGTAGAGGGTTTGGTAGTTTACCTGAATTGCCCTCTTGGGCAGACAAGCCGCTACATTCAGACCAAGTAATCTTGCAACCTGCAATAGTGCAAAACAAGTATTTTATTTGCATTTAAATATATATTTTTTCATAAGTTGATTTCATAGAGGTCCCTGTTTCATATCCTGCGGTCAAAATATATCTTAATAAGAACAGATTTTTAAATGAAGTAGATGTAACAATAAAGAATCAGCATACCTCCCTTAGAACCTTCTTATCACCAACTCCACTAGGTTGATCGAGATCCGCAATCTCCCACAGAGGTATATCAAGCAATGTCCTTATGACATCTTCATCCAAAAACGGAAACCTTGCCTGATTTTTAATTTTAATATAGATGATAAAAAAAAAAAAAAAA